AGGCATCTTCCACCGCTAGTACTGCGCTCAGGCAACCCGGAAGATGAAAAAGCCCCGAACCTCATAGCCTATACAATTTAATCACTTGGTTGGGCTAGCCCCATCCTACACAGGCAACGTCAAACCATGACGTCACCTGATATGCCAGCTTGGCAGCTGACCAGAGCAGTAGTCAAAACATGGAGAAAATTAAAGTGTGTAGCTGTTGATTAGTGGTGTGTATCTAAAAACATACAGGACATTCAGGGACATGTCCGAACAGTAAGCCTCGGAAGATATTTGGATTAAGATTACGGCTGAACATATCATGCTACTAACAATATTCATCCTGCCTGCAGACTCTTCAATCTAGTGACCTTGGCCTAGATGCAGCCTGCAGAACTCATGACAATGAACTGAGCATTTAACAGCCTGAGCAAAACATCCTGGCTACACTAACATTTTCTAATACAACAGATCTCTAATCACTGTCTATCTAACTAAGAAATTACCTAACATATTTATAAAGCAGCTTTTAAAAACAAAAATTGCTTCAAAATAAAAACAAGAAAGTTAGAACCAACAGACCTGAATGAAATACAGTGAAAATATAAAGTACAGTGGAACCTCGGTTTTCGTATGCCCTACTTTTCGTACGATTCGGTTTTCAATTACTTTTTTTATCGAAATTTTGTCCCAGTTTTCGTACATCCGCTCGGTTTTCGTACAGTTGATTGGTCGGTTCAGCGTCATTAGTTTGTACCAAACTCGTCTGCCTGCCCGCTTGACTTGGCCACTCATTTCCCTGAAGAAATGAGTGAAGGGAAGTAACCCCAGATTGGGCCTTGTTACATGAAGTCCTTATGGAGGGGGATTCCCCTTCCAAACAATAACCTCTCCTCCTCCCTCTCCCCTCCTCGCCATCTTCCATATGCCAACAAGAGTCTTCAATAAAGGTAAAAGTGATGTTAAATGTTTTTTATCCATTTCATTGGTCATTTATATTTATTTCTCATTGTTTTCTGTATGTAAAAATATAGTTATTCTCTATAAAATGTATTTTTTGTTAATATTTTTGGGTGTCTGGAATGGATTCATTGGATTTACATTATTTCTTATGGGAAATATTGCTTCAGTTTTCATACGATTCGGTTTTTGTAGGACTTTTTCGAATGGATTAATCACGAAAACCAAGGTTCCACTGTATAAGATACTAAAAACTACAAACAACAGCAGGTCTTAAACACATGGAGCACAATGAGATTTCACAATAAAAGAGATGCTTAACAAAATAAGAACTTAAAGAACACAATTCCTAGATCACAGATTATCCTTAGTAAGTATATATATATATAGGTATATACAGTATATAAGTCTGTATATTTCTGCAGAGGAAGCATGCCTCATTAACAACCTTCATTGTTTTTGAATGACAACATATATAATAAGAAACATTCATAATAAACATAGTTACTTGTACAGCTGGAGCTCATATTTTGGAAGACCTAATAATGTTAGAGGAATTTGTATGAAAACTGTCAAAGAATTATATAATCACCACACAAGCATTAGCATCTAATGGTTAATTCGTTTGGAAGGTGCCATTATGGCCATAGGCCAAAACGCAGCAATATATTTAACTCTCTTACCAAATGACTATGGTTCTTCAGACTTATTATGCCTATAACCTGAAACTGTCAACAAATCGATGCAACAAAATGTCCTTCAACTAATCAAAAATGAAAGAGAGTGAATTCTTTTTGGAAATAAAGAAAGAAGGCTGGTGGCCAGTGACTGCCTTAAGTCCAAGACACTAAAAACCTGTGTCAGGAATCTTAGTGTAGTCACTGACATTTTAATGGCTGCACCAAAGTTGTAACAAAGTCATCATTCTAGTTTCTTAAAAATAGCTAATAAAAGAAACTTTGTTTAAACAGGACTTAGAAAAGCTCATTCATGCATTAATTTCTATTAGGGTGGACTACTGATTGGCCTCCCCAGCAAGAACATCAAACAACTGCAACTCATTCAAAATGCTGCTGCCAGAATACTGACAAAGACCAAGAAGAAAGAACATTACTTCAGTCCTTAGATCTTTGCACTGGCTTCAGGTTAAGTGCAGAATAAAATTTATGGCCCTACTTATTGTCTAGAAGTTTCTCAATATGATATGTTTGCTGAGTGCAGGCCTGGTAGGTGTCTCAGATCTGCAGGCACTGATCAGATAGTGCTCCCCAGAGTTCAGACTAAACAAGGTGTAAAAGTGCTTTTAGCCATGATGCTGCCCACAGCTGGAACCAGCTCCCACTTGACAACAGCCTCAGCTGTTGTTATGGCTAGGGAGCCAAGTCAAGGCATGAGAACTCTAGGGCAGACTCAGATAGCAAGCTCAATAGGACTTTATTCAAACAGTAGTACAAGAGGTCAGTGTTTCAGGTAGGCTTCTATCAAGCCCAAATCTGGGTGAATGCACTGGAGCAGGACTTGTGGCAGGCTCAGGGGAGGCAGATGACTGGAGAGATTTCCCATGTACAGGAAACCCTGGTGGTCCTGAGGGTTGGAAAGAGTACTGCTGAAGAGATAACAGGTCGTAGCTG